ACGTAGGAGTAAACAGCTGAGTAGAATGAAAGAGTAAACCTGTAAAGGGCAAACCTTTATCTACATAAATATAGCACTGACAATTACGACCGTGGACTGGCGTTTGTTGTTGTTAAGCTCTGATGTAAATGAGCTTTTAGCTAAACTTTAGTTTAACACATTTCATTCACTGTTTCCCTCGGAGTCAATATAACGTGGACGTCTAGTTCTGTACAGCCCTGAAGGTAAACGTGATGACCTCAGATCGCCCTCAGGGAGCTCAGATCTGGGATTAAACCTTGAGAACCATTATTTTTTTACTCACAATAAAATTTAAATGGCTACTTCCTTTTTGTTCATTTTTTATGTGAAAACATCTCTAATTTGGCCTTCGAAACAAACGGTTTAATGAACGCGTGGTCCTTTTTGGTGTGTGTTGTGCTATTTACGGATATTAATATTAAAAGACAAAGTTCTAAATTAATCTCGCCTGGAAGCGCAAAATTAGATGTTGTCTCCGTAAAAATAAGGTGAGGGAAAGTATGAGAAATCGCATTGTTTTCGAGACAAAAAGGGCGGAATCCAAGTTGGAGCGTTCTTGCTAAAAAAAATCATTAATATATTTGTTTGACGGTAGGCTGATTTGCTACACGAACAATTTTAAGGCGTAAACAAATTTATTTTGAGCATTTGCGACATATTGTTAAGTTTTTGCATCGCTGCGTTGGCTAACGTTGTCTAGACAGTTCCTGTCTGCAATGGACTACAAAAGTATACGGCCGTCAACAGCGGAAGGACAGCCGCATGAGTCTTAGCAAGTAGTCGGAAGGTCACTCAGGGGCACATTATTAATGATAGAACCGAGCCCACAAATAAGAAGGGCAGACCAAACTGGTCCATAAGCGCGTAAGTCGAAAGATTTGTCCAAAATATACTACATGAAAAGGAATCATCACAGAGATCGCGTGTTCCTCTTCTTTACAACAAGAACCTGGAGCAAGCATATTTGCTTCTATTCTTAGAAATCATCATATTTCCACTGAGATTATTCACAAGGAGCATCTGCCGATATTCTTGTTGAACATAAGTAGGAAGAGAATTTGGATGTTTGAATTTCGCCAACAAAAGGCCATGATCAAACCAATTTAAGTAAGAAACATATTGGGCAACATTTTGTATTTGCGAATAACTACATTGATTACACGCCCGCATTCTGAAAGAGCATTTAATGTTGTGAAGAGGTCTTATTATTACATAAGCTTGTAAATTCGATCCAAGTTGTCATATATAGAGAGAGAGGAATTCCCAAGAAAGCTTACTGTGTTAACAGTAACCTTCAAACATGGTCGACAGGCAATTTTTTGGATGGCTATCCAATTTGAAGATAAGTCAGTATAGCGTTCAACTATGTATTATAGGAATCATAGTTCTGACGTCATTTGTTTTCAAAAGTAGAAGAAAGTTGAACACACTACTTTCTTCTTAAAGCATAGAGGGATTAGTAAACATTTCCAAAAGCTTATTTCACCCTTCTATCAAGTATAAAATTGAATGAAATTAAAATTCCCTAAAAACGGGTGATTGTTTGAACATTTTGCCAGAAACATGATCCGATTTGTGCAAAAAGTGTATAATTAGTGAGTGTTCACTAATGCCATGGGTAATTATTGTTTACTGAATGGTACGTAGCCGGACTGCTAAAAGCGTGCTAGCAAAGCTCAGCATATTGGAGTTAAAATATTTACCATGCCGGCAGTACAGGTCCTAGCTAGAAGCCCAGACACGTGATATTTTGCCAACGTATTACAAAACCGTGAAGAGTTTGATTAAGTGGTAGTTGCTCCAACATTCTCCCTGTGTTCTTCTGGTAAATACTGAGGTTGTGAAATCGTTTCTTTTTAATATCCTTCGAAATTAATCCCACTGTTGTTGATTGACTTTGACCCTAATGTTCATACTAACTGTCGGTTTGAGCCTACACGGACTAATTCATACCGATTAACTCCAATGTAGCAACAAACTTCTAAAGGCACATAAACAGCACCCCTTTATCAACTGGAGTACCTATTTGAAAACTGCATTAACAGCTAGATTTAATGGATCCATAAATTTTGAGAGTACTTATCGGTTGCTACCTCTCGCTGCATAACGTGAACTAGCAGCTGATGAGTCCTCTCGAAATTTATGGATCCATTTAATTCCGCTGTTTATGCAATCTTCAAATTTATACTAAGGAAAAGATCCTTTAAACTTCTGGAGTATCTATCCCGGAATACACAGAGAACGTTGGGGGCCAAATAATGAGCCGAACACCTCAGAAATGAGTCCTGCCGGAACAAAATATCGGCAAAACCTGTATCTGGGCTTTTAGCCAGTACCCATTCTGCCAGTTTGGTATATCATTTAATCTCAAGCTATATTACTAGCTGCTTATTAATAATTTTTAATAAATATTGCACGGTTGTCCTGCTGTGGGTGATTGATTGTCTATAAAAGTCAGTATTCCCTTGACTCAATCGTGAAAAATTCGCGGCCTCGGTGAGAGTGGAACCCACACAGCTGAGAAGGCTTTTGCGCAGCCAACGCTCTACCACTGAGTTACAAGGCTCACTTTGAGCCGTGAATTTAATCACACTTGTATCGATTTTACCCGCCCAAATTACCGCTTTTATTGAATCCACCATTACCAAACAGCAAGCTGATTGCCCAGGCAGGACTTCCTAAGCAATCCTCTGGACTCCACCGGAATGACTAGTAGGCTCAATTTATTGTTACAGGTGTTTGACAGATTTGTTTAATTGAGCCGTGTGGGTTTGACTCCCATCGAGGATGCGAATTTTTCCTGATTTGGTCAACTGAGTTAAGCAAATCTGTAGAACGCCCCTAACAAAGGTCTGCATGTTAATTTCATAAATGGATTGAGATTTTTCTGATTTTAGTCAAATTCGCAGCCGCGGTAGTGCTCAAGCGTCCATTAACACATATGGAAGAGCGCTTTACAAGTTCTAGTGTGTACTGCGAACACCTTTTGTGTCCCTTTCGCTGGTTTCAAACAGTCTGCTGATTTACGTTTTCAGGAATGTCATTTTTTTCATCCAAAATGTTCGGAAATGGTGAAAATTACCGCGTTCTGCCTGTCGTTTGAAGGTCTCATACGTATCCATAATGCTTGATTGCTCTGGCTTCGGCGGTACACGCCTTTCATAACTGTTCCTCATCATTACCGGATCCACGTCATTCAGCTCTAAAATGGAGAAGAAATGCGTGTTTTTTACACAATGCAACGATCAACATAATAATATGGTGAAACGAAGAATTCATCCTATATCCGTTTTACATGTCTTCCCCCACACACATCATAGGTATCATTTACTACTCTAGTTCATACTCTAATGCGTAGATCTAGTAGGATACTCTCAATTTAAGAATGGCATAATAGATATCGTGACATTTTTAATCTAAGTGATTTCCTTTTTGCCGCAAATGATTCTTGCTAATATTTCACCTCACGGGCTGCTAAGGGTTCATTTTGGCGTTCAGATTTCATCATGAGTTGCTGAAGCTCTCTCGCGTCGCAGTTAAGTTTTTGAAGAACTTAGAAACGTTTTTGAAACCTCTCGAAAGTCAAATCTCACAGACAGCGAGTATGACGATTCAAAGGACCTACGAAGTGTCTCTAAGTGTTTTGTCTAATACGTTAGACTGTAAATAAGTTAAGTGTTAATTGGAGCAGAGAGGTTAATTCAATTTTTGAAAGATATCTCTCCTCCACTGTGAGTATCGAGGAAACACTTATAATAGGAAGAGCTCGCAGAAATCATAGACTGCTTCTTATCCGTATTTTTAAATATTACCGAAAGAGATTTAAGAAAACATTTAAAGAACTAAAAAGTACTTTCGATAGGTCAATACACATATAATAATCAAACGGCTTTCTGCTCCATACCATAGTTAGTACTATCGGCATGTAGAAACCGATTTCTTAATTTTGGTGAGGGGCCGCGGACTTATGACGAAAAATATCGAAAACATCACCCAGACTTGATAATGAAAAAATTAATCGAATTTTCGCAAATAATTGCATTTATCTATGATTTTTGTTACTCATTGAAGAGAAAATTCCTTTCTCCGCAGTGCACCCTAACGGATAAGCGTAGACCCCTCAGAACGCCGCCTTGTTCTATACCCTAAAATACTGTGAAGCGTTGTGCAGAACCCATCTCCCACGGGGTAAGCCTGTTTGCTTTTTAAACGTCAAGACATTAAACGTATTACTACCGGGATTGTTTTTTCTCATGTTTGTATCATACTGTCTTTTATTGCGAAAAAGCCTGTTTTAAATTGCTTAGTCAGATCAAATAACAGTTCGTAAAATTTAGTAGTAACTGAGGTGATTGACTCTTCCGAGTGCATTAAAACAGAACAGTAGAAAGAATTTTTTAGTAAAACTGGTTTGCGGTTGATATCTATCTAATCCAATCCGTTAATTTCATCCCATTTCATGAACGGAAAGAAAATTAAAAGATGTTCTCTATTAAAACTTTCAAAATACCATTTTAACCAACACGGACGACAATTGCACAACTTATCTAGTCTATCATCACCCCCAGAATTTTTAAGATGTGCTTTCATCGTCCTTGATGCTTGCCTCTCATACTCCCTCCTTATGCTCTGCCGGTGGTCACTTTCCCTTTTCGGTAAGACACGGGGGGAGATACCCCCCAGTAAAATAGTTAGTTCCGTGCTAAATTCCAAAGAGATCATGATAAGGATCGGTTTTTGGTAGGCCGTATTTCCAAATAATTTAATTTCCCCCTGTTTTGCCTTGTTTTCACCTCATCTTTTTTTCTCCTCCGTAACTGAGTCAGTCCCACTTGCAAAGATCACGGGATTAGCAGGAGTTATTGACGTCATATAATTTCGCGACCGCTTATTCAACTGCAAACGGTCGTTGCCTAATTATAAGATTAATTAACTGTCCAACTAAGTATCCACCTAGAAGGGTGAAACTTGGTAGGTAAAGAGAAAAGACTAAGAGCTTCTAATAGCTTCTACTCTCCTTAGCTATCCACTTTTACCCTTCTAGGCCGACACTCAATTGGACAGTTAATTATCTTATTAATGGGCAGCGACCGTTTGCAGTTGAATAAGCGGTTGCGAAATTATATGACGTCAATTAATCCTGCTCATCTTGTGGTCTTTGCCTCGTCCAAATTTCTTCCGGAAAAACAGTGTTTCAAGTCTCACGTGCTTCGCTGAAAGTCGTAATTGAAAATTCACTTCGGAATTTACTGTCATCTCAGACCTATCGCTCAGTACTCGGAGTACAGCAGCTCACGACAGACAAGAGGGCTCTTCGAGTGAGTTTGCTGAGGTCATACCGGCAGCTCATGCATGCATGAGGGCATTTCTGCCCTCAAAATTCTGTGCCCACACTCTACGATCGCCTCTGGACTGGGAGTTTTGCCTGAGGCAGCAAAGGCCGTGTAAAAGTGCAACTTAGTAGCTGATTTGGCTTTTTCCGAAAACAAAATAACTGGAAAATGAGACATTTATTTTCCCGGAGGAAATTTGAACAAGGCAAAGATCAGGAGATAAGCAGGATTTATTGACTTCATACAACTGCAAACCGTCCTTGCCTATTAATAAGATAAAGTAAGTGTCCAATTACGTGTCGACCTAGAATAGTGAAATGTGATAGGTAAAGAGAATAGGGGCTGCAATGCGGAGAAGCTGTAAGAAGCTGGATCATGTGATCAACCTCGCATTACCGTGGTAACGATCGATAAACTCATTCCCGCACACGCCTCCTCACTTCCCTTAGGACTGACTGCTACTCTATCCTCCGCCCCTCCCCCCTCCCCACAGGCTTTCGTGAACATGAACTGACATGAGCTGACACGTTGTGAAAACTACCTCCCCCCTCCCCTACCCCTTCACCATGCGCCCACATCTAAGACTAATAGCTTCTACTCTCTACCTATCAAGTTTCATCCTTCTAGGTCGACACTTAATTGGACACTTACTTTATCTTATTAATAGACAACGACCGTTTGCAGTTGAATAAGAGGTCGTGAAT